GTTTTATTATATTTTTTTAATCAATAAAACTATATATTTTTGAAGCAATAATAATCTTTTTTTATAAATTTTTTACCTCCTAAAAACAAGCTTATCAAATACCCATAAGTTCTACGTATAATTTAAGTACAACAGGGTGCTGCATTTTGGATGTCCGAATAGGGAATCTCCGAAACTAAGATGTTTAGCCAAAAACGAGTGATACATTCTGGGACTCATTTTTTGAGGAAATAATATTGGTTAAAACCGCATCCCGCTATCGTCTTTTGTTTTCGACTTATAGACAAAAATTGACATTTTAGCGAAATCTAAAAAAATAATATTTTTGTCAGTATAGAACATACGGATTTGAAATAAAGACATTATACAGGCACTTTTTGACGTAGAATTTAATAATGTAGTTAACAATTTTTTTTCAGTTGTTTGTTTATCCGTAATAAAATAAACTTGTATTTTTTTTTAAATGGGAATCATATATTGCTACGTCATTTTTAAAAAGCTTGTTTTTTTCTTATCTAAAAAATATATATTTGTAACAAATTATTATAATACATTTTTTAGTAAAAAATTATCTTTGATTTTTGTTCGCAGTTGGCTATGAAAAAATGTTGCATCTTCAACTAAAGGGATTTAAACTATATTATTCAACCATTGTCACTAATGAAAGAGTTTTCTAAGTACTAAGCACGGTGTAAGATATTTAGGTGATGCAGCGAGCCCTGCAAACGTGTGGCCAAACCGGTCACGCTCAATTTAGAGAGAGATAGCGTAATCGGGCCATCATTACTATCAATAAATGAAGGAATGGACCGAAAAGTTGCAGTTGTATAAATGATAATAGTTATAATTAAAAAAAAAAGTTTATATAAAAAATACACGTCATATACCTACTATCTATACATCTGAATTTAAATTCTACAAGCAATATTATCTAAATGATAAAGCTTTGCTTAAACTTTTTTTTATTACATTTGTTTCTGTTGCGAAACGTAAAACAAATACATATTGAATTTTACTTGAAAACAGTTATTATATTAAATAATTAGTAAATTAATAGGTATATTAAAAAATTAAATAAATTAGTACTTAAATAAAAATAATTCTTTTTAAATAAGGTAATTTTATGAAACGGAATATCGAAGACAAAGATTTTTCAAGAACATAAACACCTACATATTTTGTAGGAGCATAATATTCTAAGGTTCTAAGTTGCATAATCAAATTTAAAGGAGCATTAAATTAAAAGTTCAGAATGTGCTAATTACTACGGACTCCTTGAGCAAAATTTGACATTCTAAACCACCATTAACTTTAAAGTTTCTTTAATTCTATCATGAAACTGGACCTACGTAAAATTTAATTCTAAATTTAAAATTATAAGGAATTGTAAAACTGCCGTAACACACCATCAATTTATCAAAAATTTGTTGTTAATTAATTCAGTTTTTGGACTGTAGTTATTTTTGTATCCAGAGAAAAATTAAATCAGAGAGATCAAATATATAAAGTTTATTTCACACCTTGCGTCGATTACTACTTTTTTAAATAACGTTACTTTGAACTGAACTTTATTTTATAATTATTGAAATCACATTAATTATCACCATTTGCAATTGAATGTAAAGACCACAGACTAGAAGGTAAATAAATAAATAGAATAAACCTTTATTCCTATTTCAAATTTTTTCAAATAAATTTTGTTAGTTATTCTGTTCAGCTATATTTGATTCTTCTACTAAAATAAATAAGCAAATTATTATTACGATTGATAATTATTAAAAACAGCAACCAAAAAAATCTAAATTTAGAGTTGCTTTTTCAATTCTTTTTGCTTTTCTCCTTCGTTTAATTTGTGGTTCAAATTTAACAATATCCTGGACAATCTGGAAAAATAGTTAGTACTGCTTCTTCTTCTAATTTTGGCTTTTTGAGATAAAATTTGACAAAAGCTGTTTCAATCTAGAAAAAATATGTTTTATGGTGTTTATAATTTTAATTAATTTTCTTTAGATTTAACCATATAAATTTCACGAATTATATGTTTTGCTTTAAAATGTGTTTTACACACATGATCCTTTACAGTGAAAATACAGAATTTTTGGAATTATACATTTTCCGTGGTAGGTATAGGAAATAAAGATAATTTTTCAATATTTTTAGCATAGCCACTTTTAAACTTGGGCACACAATATTTTTTTCCCATTTCAAAATGTATAAACATGTATTAGAACAATATAAAATTGCTGAAGTAACCACCTTAGGTGCACTTTATTAGGCGGACTTTCGGGAACGAATGGCCCGCATATGTCCTCCTTGTCTAAAAATCGCGTGACCAGTTTGGCCACACTTCAGCCAACGCAGTGCATGCGTTCGCTGCATCACATATAAATGTCTTACACCGTGGTACTAAGTAATGAAAAAAAAAAAAAATGCAAAATAAATCGTAAATCAACTTATTGGCGACTAATAACGTTTCTTTGTTTTTAAACAAGCTAACATTACCGTTGTAACTTCTACATAGAGTGTTGTAAAAAAAAGCCGCTCTAATTTTTCAATAAAATATATTTTGTATGACACAAAAATGACGATATGGCTATTCAAATACCCAAATTCCGTCTATGTGGAACGTTTTCCTACCTCCATTAGATCATCAAAAAATGTTTTGCTAATTGTGTTCACTGTTGACACGTTTGTTTTTCCTATTTTTAGATTTTTTAAAAATATGTAATAATTTTGTTCTGAGGCGCTCGCATATTTGTTCAATACTTCTAACGTATCGTATTTTTTTAATTTTTATAATTTTATCAATTTTTTCATCTATTTTACAGTTCACAAAACTCTTATTGATTATTATTTACACATTTCGAGTGAAATAGTTTTTCCATGGCCAACTATTATGAAACAAAATATGTATTTCACTTTTTAAGTATAACTGTAAAAAATATTTTGTTACAAATGTATATTTTTTAGATCAGAAAAAAATAAGCTTTTCAAAATTGCCATAGCCGTCTATGACTTCCATTTAAAAAAATCAAAGTTTATGTTATTACGCCTAAACCAATAACTAAAAAAAAGTTAACTACATTATTAAATTCCTCGTAAAAACGTGCCTGTATAATGTCTTTATTTCAAATCCGTATCTTCTATAATAACGAAGATATGAATTTTTTTTAGATTTCGCCAAAATGTCAACTTTTGTCTGTAAGTCGAAAACAAAAGACGATAGCGGGATGCGGTTTTAACCAATATTATTTTTTCAAAAAATGAGCCCCAGAATGTATCACTCGTTTTTGGCTAAACAGCGTAGTTATTCCCTAGATTCCCTATTCGGACATCCAAAATGCAGCACCCTGTACATACATATATGAAATTTTGTGAATGCCCAACAAAATATCGCTTCATCGCTAATGCAGTATCTAAATTCCGTTTCATATCGATTAAACTTTGTTTATAAGACCAGATTTGACCATGAGTCATGTCAAAACTTTTTCACACATTTCTAAGTTTTCTAATAATAACTTTTTGCACATTTCTCTACATTTAAAACCCGATACCCAATTTTTAACAAACCAGGCGTTGAAACGCCGTTGACAGTGACCAATTTTAGTTTGCAACTTTTTAGGTTTGACCGGTTTTAAGTGAGAAAGTTTTTTGATGTACGCGCGACCCCGATGTAATTAGGAATAATAAAAGAATGCAAATTTGGAAGACCAGTCTGTAACATATAATGGAGTAAATAATAGCATATCAATTACGAAACACGAATTTAATGTTAAGTTAAATTGAATTATAATAATAAAATTATACACTGTGTCCATAAATGATTGAAGGATCAAGTTGGCTTTGAAATAATGTCAACCTCTAAATGTGCCGCTTATATGATACTGATACTATTGATAACACAAAATATATTTGACATGTGACAGTTACAGATTTTAAAATTGTGTCTCTTTAGAAAATAAAACGTCGGAAAAATTTTTAGTTTTTGGAAATGGGTAGATCGGTGCGCAGCGCGGGAATCCACTGTTTCAAAAGGATTTTTAATGAACACTTTTTAATCAAATTTGGTATGTGGTCCATCACAAAGTGTTGTTTCAAAAGAAAAGTGGCGAATCCAATATGATTTGAGCCTGATTTCTCGTGTTAATCTTTTTGTGATAATCAGTGTTAAAGATGGGCTACGTAAACACTAAAATTGTAAGAATTTTAATAAAATAGTTACGAGGTGCTTATTTGTTTTCTTGTCACATTGTGTTCTTGTTCTCAATCTAGAGCTGCAACAAAAGCAGTTAATTGAAAAATGCATTAAATCTGAAATTTGTCACTGTCACATGTCATATTTTTTGTGTTATCAGTATTCAGTAGAGCTTGTTCCAAATTTGGTGGCGAACTGACGTTGTCAAAAATGACTGAATTTTGACATTAAATATATGTTTACTATTAAAAAAAATATTGTTCATAGGCGTCGTATAAAATAATATTTCAAAACCACTGTTATTCTTTAAAAAAATATAATAAGTAGGTACTCGTACTTAAGATGAAGAATGATGAACAAATTATTAAATTGTTAACGCATGAAAAGAATTTTCAAAAATGATATTCCTAACAATCCTTGTCTTCAAAATTTTTAGAGAAAAAAAAGCACGCCCATGTATTTTTTTATCTTAACCAAGTGGGCGCACTCCAAGTGTCTTTTCTGTCACTGTCAGTTCGCCACCAGATATGAAATAAGCTCTATCATATAAAGCGGCTTTAAAGCCAACTTGATCCTTCAATCATTTACGGACACTTTGTATATTGTAAACATTGTACCTAAATAATGTGTTTTTGAGACAGTAATAATATTTTATTTATAAAACAGTGACCTCCTAAGAACAAGCTTATCAAATGTTGTTGATGGCGTAAATACGATAATTGACCACTTCCCACAAGTTCTACGTATAATTTATAGAAACTTTTGTGAATGTGCAACAAAACATCGCTTCATCGTTACTACAGTGTCTCAATTCCGTTTCATATCGATTAAACTTGTTTATTTGACCACATTTGACCATGAATCATCTCAAAACTTGTGCACGACATTTCGAAGAATAACTTTATTTGCAAATTTCTCCACATTTCAAACTCGATATCTTGTTGTTGATACGCAATTCCTGTTCGTCTAACAAGGTGAGTTAACTTTTCCAATTTCTCATGAAAAAAAAAACAGCTTTTCAGATGACCACTATCGACGGAATACCGAATATAACGGCAAATTTCTCCGACGATGTTTACAAACCACCCGATGAAACTCCTTACCAAAGAATTTTCCTCGAGTTGTTCACCCTCGTGGCTTTGATATCGCTAGCGGCCAACTGCTTCCTTGTTTATGTCATTTTCAAGTACAAGAAATTACGAAAAGAGACAACAAATAAGATTTTTCTTCATTTGAATATCCTGCAAGCTGTGTTTTTGATTGCTACACCGTTGACTCTACGATTTGCGATTGAATTCGTGTGGAGTTTTGAGGTGCATTTATGTGTGTTTTGTACTCTTTACCAAATCGAATTAAATGCCCAGTTTGCCATAACAGGCATTTTGTTTCTCTTAGTCTGTGATAGTTATCTCAGCATTTACTCTAAAGACAAGTATAAAAAGTTTGGCCGTTTTTATAAATATTTCCTTATTAGTCTTTATGTTTTAACTGGGTGCACTTCACTCGTTACAATACAATATTGTTTTACCTTTCATTATATGGTTTTGTATGCTTATTTTGTTATGATTGTTGCTATTATCATTTTAGTAGTGTTTTTAATTGTTATTAATATCATACATGTTATTAAGAAAAGGAAACTAACAAATTACAAGTCAAGCAACATTGGATTAGTTGTGCCAAATATTTTCTTTCTATTATGGAGTCCTTTTCTAATATTTTTATTGCAAAGCGTATTAGGAATTACTGTAGATACTCCTATTACAGCTATAATTTTATGTTCATTAGGTTTTTCAAGTCCTGTATTAAACTTAATTTATGTTTATTTTTATGATAATAATTTTAATGTGTTTCTCAGACAAGTTTTCACGTGTAGGTGTAAGGAATACAAAAATGAAAATTTAGAAGACCAGTCTGTAGCGTACAACGATATAGAAGGGGTGCAAATTACCCAAAATGAAAATTAATTTTTGTACTAATTGCTAATAAACTAATTCATTAATTTAATCGGTTTTAATTTTAATCGTTTTTAGTCTGCCAAATTATTGCTATCGCTTTGTTAAATGTTTATCTTACGCAACATTTTTCCAAGAAATCAAGGTCAACAAGTAATCAGTTGGTATTTATGCTCATCAGTATTCAAACCATTTTGATTTTGCAGAAAATACTTCAGGAAGTTTGTGATTAATGAATTCATTGTAAACAGTTTATTTCAAAATTTTTTATTTTATTAGTACGCTTTCTGTTTTACAGGAAATGAATAAATGATTTTAGTTTATTTGTAGTCTAAAATTTGTAAAATTCATCATTTACCATTCATCACATTTTCATTATCTATATATTTATTTTTAACAGAAAAACATAAATGGAAAATTGTTCAATTAAAATAATTATTTCATCTGCTTAAGTCAATAAAACATCAAAATCCGTAATCAATTAATTACAGAAAAGCAATAAATCTTGCATTAAATTATGCGCGAATTTTAAACTTTCACCAAGACAAATTTAAGGAAATCCGAAACGACACAATTATAACCGTATTGTATTAACAATTATTTTTAACAAACCGAATTAAATGCGAATAATAATGCTCTCCAAAATAAGAGTTTCCGACTATAGTTCAATCTGTTGCCAAACATATTTTCCGTCTTGAGAAATTTTTAAAAGTAGAGAATAATCCAAACTATGTTACTTACAAAACAGTTTTCTAATGTTGGAATGCAAATGGGCATAATATTTTATGCTATTCACCTAACAGTTAGAAATAGTTTGAATTAATTGCGGAGGAAATCAATCATTACTACAGCTACAAGATTTCAGTGTTTTAGAAAAACAAGGCATAAAACTGAAGATTTATTAAAATATCAAGCACCTCATTAGAAAGAATATCCTGTCTCTGCTAATAATAACCAAAGTGAAACCATATAATAAAGGTAACTGAACCAAATTTTACTTACAATGAACTCTAAATTTAATGGGTAAATGCATAATTAATTTACACCACTTCACACGCTCTTCTTATGTGATCCTACAAAATTTTGCAGCATTCCAATTACTTTAATTTTATTTAATTCTGAATTTTCACATTTCAGTTTTATCTTCTAGATTTTTTGATATCTGGGACTGTTCTGGTTTATCAATCGCCATATGTCAGTTTTAATGAGACAGCAAAAATGTTTGGTAATCTTCTGTTATTTTAAAATGTTTTTAGAAAGGAAATGATCTAGTAATACTAATTTATGACAAATCCACTAATTGAAATTGTCGATTGGAAAGAAAGTCAAAAATAATGAGAAATTTATTTATTTATATCATTTGAGTTTTTTACTTCTTTAGTGAAGTGTTAAGAAAATGTCATGATCTTTATCAGACACCTACCTAATTGCAAAATTCTATGTTATCTCGTATGAAATAAGGCAAGAATGTTAAAGATGTTTCCACCTTGACATAAAATTGGAAAAAAGCCGTTATTACTAAAACATCTGTGATTTTATCACCAAAACTGACAAAATTTTGCCTATTGTGTAAATTAATTGCTTAATAAAAAATCTGTCCATTTTCCAGATGTCGAAACAATGGCCACCAAGTGTTATAATGCGTACATTAACGCCCTTTGGGCATTTACGCTGCTTGTCCATCTGTCAGCAACTCAAGGTGAGTATCTTTACTAAAATAAGAACTAATAAAATACATCGCTTTTTAACCTACTTCCCGGTACGTGATTTTTCAGTTAATTATTATTCATGCCAGAACGACGGAATTTATTACAACTAGACTAAAATTTCACGTAACGAGTTCGGTAATAAATTTGTCGTTTGAACTTCTTTATTTGAGAGTAAACTAAGACAACAGCCACCAGGTGATGTTAAAAATCAGCCGAGCGGAAGGTGACCACCAGCGTGGTTCCTTCCTGTCGTGATGAACGATTTATAGACGGGTTCTCAAGTTGTAGACACCTAGAGATTCCCACATAAATATTAAAAATATTTCTGTTTCTGGCAACTAAAAAATTAGGTGTTTATTTGGGCTAGAAACTGAAAACATCCGTGTCATTGGTTTATCATGGAAAAATGTAGTTTAATTTTTCTTTTTGTAATCCCCTTTTTGGCCAAATATCTAGTAGTAGTGTGATACCTTCACACACTTGTAAAACCTCTAGTCGCGTGTGACAGCATTCTTCTCTTCCGACTTTTTACACCTCTTAACTAAGAAAAAGCAAATAAGTGTATCAGTTGATCTACTTTCCCACACACAATAAAAGTACACAACGAGTGTTAAAGTTGTAATTAAGAAGCAAATTGCAAAGATATTTCATATTATCGCAACGGTTTGATCTTCTGAATATCCACCTACGTGAGTCCAGTCAAGTGGAACTTTTGAAAAAAGTACTTAGGTGTATGTACCATTTACCTAACAGTTTTGTATCTAATAAATTCTGCTTTAATAAAAATAATAAGAAAAAGTAGCTACAAAACATGAATATGAAGGGATTCATTATTTTTTTTACTTGTAAATATTTTTGTTATTTCCCAAAACAATTTTTGAAAGTAGAGACATTTATTTTGTGCTATTTTATGCCACAAAAAAAGAACTGTGTAATTTAATTTTTAATTTCTGAAATTTGTATGTTGCCTAAAAAATTTAAGAAATTAAACAGAAAAAATGGATGTATACACAGAGTATTCCAAGCTTTAAACCGATTATTATTTAATGTGGGGAAACATAAATTTAAAAACTAACTAAAATTATTTTTTTCTTTGTTTGAAAGTTACATGTTAAAGTTGAAAAACAAATTTGTGTTAAACTCTTCTTGAATAAAAAGAATTTATCTGGCATCTCTTAATTATTGAACAATAACTAGGCGATTTTAAATGAATAGGGTATTATCATTAATACATCAAATGTTATTCTATGAGATCTTGCAGAACTGCGCAATACTCCTTACAAATTTGAGTACAGTTGTTCCAATATTTTTATGATAGATTAAGAATTTTCATTAAAAGCACCCGTCTTTATAAGAAATTGTTTGATTAAATTGTCATCAAATTTACCTATTTCTACCTCAGTTTACATAATTTCTTTTAGAAAAGAAGGTTTGTCTTTATGTTTTTTTCAAGATTTGCTCCGCTCATTCGCAAAACCTACTTTTTCTCGTGGTTTTTATGGAAAGAATTACTCGTATTTTGGTGAAGAAAAGGGGGCGTTGCAAGTGGGGAAAGCACTTTTAACTAAGATTATTCTTCGGTATAATTTTTTAATCATAATACATCTCATTTTTTAGAAAAATAGAACATTTGTACTTGGTTTAATACATTTGGTGTATGAGAATGAGTGGTAAAATAGATTTAATGAATGATGATGTTGAAAATTCAAGTTAAAAGCATCGCCCTGCATCTTAATTAATAAATACAGGAATTTCACGTTTTGAATTAGACAAAACCTTTCAAAATTTATACAGGGTTATTCATAAATATGAAACAATATTTGAACCTCAAAAATGACCTATAAAATGATGTTAATTTAAATAATAACTCGTGTCCTATCTCTACTGATAAAAATTTTACAGCCCTCGGAATGTGAGTATGGAAATTTGTTTTTTTTTTGTAATAACTTTGGAACTATTTGACCAAATATTATAAAATTTGGAACATATCCCTGTGACAACATACCCTTTGTTACCGTGGATATCATCCATTCAAAATCCCTACTTTTTGGTTTCAGCGTTGTGCAGTCCTCAGTTTAAATTAAAATTTCTTTGAAACGGTCCATTTTAGGGGTATTAAAGGTTATGCGTTTTTTAATCGAAATTGATTACTCTATCGATTTGAGTAATAAAAAATTGGTGTTAAGAAAGCAAAAAAATGGAAAAACACAGAAAATGTGACCTGCAACTGCTGGAACCGGAAATTGAGTGGATGTATCCGGTTTTCGTGTTTACCAGTTTAAAGGGTATGTTGTCACAGGGAAATGTTCCAAATTTTATAATATTTGGTCAAATAGTTCCAAAATTATTACAAAAAAATCGAATTTCCATACCCACATTCCGAGGGCTGTAAAATTCTTATCAGTAGAGATAGGACACGAGTTATTATTAAAATTAACATCATTTTATAGGTCATTTTTGAGGTTAAAAAAATCGCCGTTTACTAAGCGTCCACTTCGAAAATAGACTTCAATTATAAACTTGTTTTCTTCCAAAGTATACATTATTATCAATTATTATTGGAAATTAGTTGAAACAATAAAAGTTTAATTAACAACAATTTATTATTAATTAATAAGTGACACTAATGACAGAACTAGAGCTTTCAAAAAAGTAGAGCGGCACAAATAAAGTTACATGCAAAAAAAATCCAAAGCTGGCTAGATGAAAATCATTTATAACCACTCTGTATTATAGGTGAAAGATTGGTTGATTAAAAATTAAAAATTAATTTCAAGGTTCATTTTCATTTTAATTATAACAATTCTGAATTAAGCTCAGCTCATAATTCAAAATTTAAGTTACGAATCTGACTTTCAGAATTTAAGAACTGCAAATCTTGCTCTGGAAAAATTGAATTTTATATAGGGTGATTCAGCTTAAATGACCAACCGAAATTTCATAAATGCTGAGATATTATTTTACAAATAATGAAAAAACTGATGATATTAATTTATGGTGCATCTGGTCAAAATGCTAGATTAGCCGCCGATTAATACGCTCGGCAATATCCAGAATGAGTACGCATAAAATTTTTAAACGACTGGAAATGTGTTTGTGTCACAATTGGCCTGCAAGTAAGCGAAGAAGTATACAAACTGCGACTAGTTTAGAGAAGGAAATTCTGATGTTGAAGATTGTTGAACAAAATCGGCATATTGGCAATTGCAAGAGAAGTGTGAATAAGCCAATCTTCTGTTTCTGCAATTTTAAATACTAATAAATTTCATCCCTATCACATGCAGTTAGTGCAAGAACTACGAGATGCTGACTTCTCTCGTAGATTAGATTTTTGTTATTTTGTTTGGGAACAATTATAAAATAATCAACTAGAAAATAATGTTATGTTTAGTGATGTTTGATATAGCGTTTCGTGAATAGAATCGTGGCTTGTGAGCAGAGTGCGGATGGCCACATAGAGCATCAGCTATGAAATAATTAATTTTTGATTTACTTATTCCTTTTCTATAAAATAAAATTGCGTTTATTCGAAAAATTGCCATTGATTGAAATGTGCGTGTGACAGTGGCACTTCCGATGTTTTTCGAACAGCAAACTTTGTTTCATGAAACTTTCAAAATTCTAATATAAATCAAGGAATAATTGTTTTGTGTATTATGGGTTGTCTACCAAGAGGGGTCAAGTGGGTTATTTAAGCTGAATCACCCTGTAGAGGATTAAAAGCGCCTATAAATCTCTTATTGTAGTTCACTTGAAATTCTAAATGTACAAATAGGAAAGTTAGAAACCTAAAATATTTTGAGTTCAATTTAAAGTCAAAATATTTGCTTTGGAAGTATACAGGGTGATTAATCTCAGCTCCCGTCTTCTGTAGCTCAGTTATTTGTGGGAATTTTGATATTTTGTAGACTTTATTTATATTCTAGAGAGCATTTCAGGAAAATATGTTTGATTATGCAGGGTGGCTCAAAAATAAGTTATAATACAAACTTATGTTTTTTTTAAATAAAACACCACATGTTTCTTGGTATTTTTGAATGTAGCTTTTAATTTCAATGTTTTCAAGCTAAACTTCTATTAGTCAATTTTGGTTAGTTTTTAAATTAAGTTGTTTTAAATTTAATATTTAATTAAATTAGAATTTTCCAATTAAAAGATAAAATAAAGAATTTCGAATTTAGTCCCGGATTCTCTTTTTAGGTTTGAGCGACAACCGCTGTTACTTAGAAAACGGCGCCTCCTCCGAAAACTTCTTCGTTTCTGAGAACAACTCCGTGGGTTCCATCATCGGCCAAATCCGCGTCCACGGTGACCCCCGGCCCGGCGGAACCATCGCCCTTCATCTCAAAGAAACCGATAGTCCCGTCGCCATCTCCCCCGGAACGAAAAACCTAACCCTCCGTCGCAAACTCGACAAGGAAGGCATCGACGGCCCCTCCTCAGTCTTCGTTAACCTCATCTGCGAACGCCTTCACACCCTAGACCCCGGTTTCGTCATCCCCATCAACATCCGAGTGACCGACGCGAATGACAACTCCCCCGTATTCATAAACGCACCCTACGTGTTGAACATTTCCGAAGTGACAGTTGTGGGCACGCGAGTGCTGCAGGGGGTCCACGCTGTCGACAACGACCAGCAGGGCCCTTTCAGCAGTGTCAAATACTCGGTGCTTCCAGGCCCGCATTCCGACTATTTCGAGTTCGAGAATGAGCTCGAGGGGACTCTAGTCTTGAAGAAACCACTAGACTACGAAACGTTGAAGAGTTTCGATGTCAATATCCGGGCCCAAGATCATGGTGAACCTCCTAGGAAGACAGATACTGTCTTGACAGTCCACGTGGTGGACGCCGATGACCAAAACCCCCGCTTCCTCGACGACAGGTACACTGCAACTGTGCCAGAACCTCCGAAACGCGGAAGCGCCTTAATCACTAAACCCAGAGAAATCAAAGCTTTCGACCAAGACCTCGGGATTAATGCCCCGATTTTCTACACTTTCAACGGTATTGGAACCGATTACACATACTTCAAGATCAATCGGAATTCCGGAAAAGTCACCCTTTCACGGGATTTGGGTGATGGTGATTTACAACATCCGGCCACTTTGGTCATTAGGGCCACTCAACAAGATAATCCCGACCGTTACGCTTTGGCCACATTGACCGTATCGAGAGATGTAGGTAACGGGATAAGATTTTTGCACAGGATTTTTTACATAAAAGTCCCAGAATCGACTCCTGTCGGAGCGACTGTTTCCACTTTTACTAACAATAGGCCTAATCAGCATTTGCGTTATTTTGTGTCGGATCAGAATGTTCTAAAAACGTTTGCGATTAATACTAAAGGAGAACTTTCGTTGAAGAAAAAGTTGGATTATGAAGACAAGGCAGAACATATTTTCAAAGTGTTTGCCACGGACGGGATAACGGTAAGTCAGTGCCTAGCTAATTTTTTTTTTAATAAAATACGAAAATTCGTCGTCATTCTTGTTATTATTTGGAGCGTCACGAATTTAATTTGCATACAAATTTGAGTTTCTAATGTATACTTGACCGAAAACAAAGAGAAGATCTTTAACTTGAGTGATCAATAAAGTCCGGATTTAGGTTTTCTGCTTCTTTTTCACTTCTTATTCTTTTCCTAAAGACCTAAAATTTGAAACCCAATTTAAAAATAAAAATGAGATTTAAACAAAAATATGCAAATATTATTTCAGCGACCAACGAATTGAGATTCTTCACTTCTTCACTATAAAAGATTCAATAAAAATTATAATGATTATGAAAAATACTGCCCTACTAAGCAAAAAGCCAGTAAAATCAATCTACACCTTTTTTCAAGGGTAATTCAGATTAATTAATTTAATTTCAGAAAGCATAAATTGAATTCAGATTAGTAATAGTATTTCAGAAAGTATTAATTGTAATTCAGAAACCATTACATGTATACTCGTAATTCAGAACAGTAAATAAATTCAATTTCATGTCACATGTAATCCAGAAAATATTAATTGTAATTCAGATGAGTAACTTACTGTTATCTCAAAATGAAGTTTACACATAAACACGAATTATTTTATTTTCAAAATAAAAAATTACATAAACTTGGTATTTTACAAAATAAATAAGATATACCTATTATTTTCAAAGGGATTTTCATAATGTAATTTTTAAATTTTTAAATGAAAATAACGAATTCTGAATTACAATTGTCGAATTCTCAATTACAAATAACAAACTCTGAATTATAAGGAATTATATATGAGAAAAGTAAAATAAACCGGAACAAATATCGGTACCAGGGGCCTCAACTAACACTTTCTGAAATACAATTGACTAATCTAAATTACAATTAACGTTTTCTGAAATATATCTTGCGCTTACTGAATTACACTTGCAAAAAGTGTAAAGATTTGGCAAATTATTGTCACAAACGGATTTACCGAAAGGCTGTACACTCGAACAAAATGAAAATGACGCCTCACTAAACCAGCCCCTGCTGGATGCCGACCCTTCTAACCGCAAGCAGACAGGGTCGTAAATTATCGGATTGCAGTTTCAACATAAATTCCTCTTGGAGCTGGTTTACAGAAAGCCAAATTAAAATTTAATTCAGAATTAAACTAATTCGAATTAATTTGCCATTTACTTTGCATTGACAAACGTCAAATTAATTAAATGAAAATATTGATTTTTTTTAATGAAAAATTTAACAAACCATTTCTTAAAGAAAATTATGCATTAATAATGACATTAACGAAAAAACAACAAAACAATCATTATTAACTTAATATTTTTTTTAAACTGTTTTTTCAAAATAAAATTAATTTACATAATTTTTGAACGAAATAAGTTTTCTCTATTTTAAACTAGATTTTATGGAAAACAACAAATGTTTATTTGCGAGAAGAAAAATTTATTCCACGTGTGCCTTTACCACGAGTGGTGTAATTCTTTGAGTAGAAGCGAAATTAAAATTTAATTCAGAATTAGGTAAACAAATTCGAATTAATTTGCATTGACAAACGTCAAGTTTAAAATTTAATTGCGATTAACACGTAAACCGGCCCTAAGTTTTCTATTAGTTTTGCAATTGTCATTGAAAACGAATCAAAATTATTTATTTAATTAAACGAGGAAAAAAAACTGCAAATTCTGCTTTTATTTTTTGGTAATTGTAATACTTTTAAATTAAATAAAAACGTTTAGTTTTATAAAAACACAATTTAACAAAAACCAGTTCTTAAAGAAAATTATGCATTAATAATAAAATAAAATTAAGTAACATAATTTTTGTACGAAATAGGCTTTCTCTATTTTAAACTTGATTTTATGCAAAATAAATAATTTATAAAATAAATTTATTTTGAAACAGTTAAAAAAATATTAAATAAATAATGGTTTGTTTTTGAGTCAATGTCATCATTACCTAATGCATAATCTTCTTCAAGAAATGCTTTGTTAAATTTTTCATTAAAAAAATTACATTTTCATTTAACTTGACTTTTGTCAATGCAAAAAAAATGGCGACTTAATTCGAATTAGTTTAATAATTGTGAACTAAATTTTCATTTCGCTTTCTGTAAACCGGCTCCTAAAGGAATTTATCTTGAAACTATGTCAAGTTTGCAATCCGATAATTTATGACCCTGCCTGCTTGCGGTTAGAAGGATCGGCATCCACAGCAGGGGCTGGTTTATTCATAAATTTTTTGATAAATGTAATCATTTTTATTCTGGACAAGTTTTCTTTGTGGTTTAATGAAATTTGCACTTCAAATTTTGCCATAAATTTCTGTTTGAAAACTAATCAAGTTTTTTACAAAACCCAAAGTTTTGTGAGAAATGCAGCCATATGATCAAAATAAAACTTGCACAAGTAATTTCTAAATTCTAAAACTCCGCTGTCATTGAACATTAAAAATAATATAATCTCTTTCGTCCGTATTAGCAAGACTCTACTGCATAAGGGTTCGGATAAATCAAGTTTTATTAAGCTTCTTTTGACCTCTACTATTTACTATAATACTATCACCTCTTGAAACTACTAAAATCATCCAGTATATTCTATGTAGTGCCGATGTTTTTCTTAGATTACTACACTGTTCAAAGAAAAGTTTGCCAATATTCAATTTCTAATTGCATATCATTTTAAAGGGCAAGTCCATCCCTTTAGAATGGTCTTTATTTGAAGGAAATCGGCCTAATAGTTATTGAGTAATGATTTTTTAAAGTTAAAGTATTTTAAATTTATTTAAATTAGAAAAAAATTATTTAATTCAAAGTGTGTGGACTTTTTGAAATTTTTTAGTGCATTTGATTTGTCTCACTGAGACGAACAAAATGATAGAAATTTTGTCAAGTTGTTACGACATGACTTTTTTTTGTCGCCCTGTGTTATTCAAACTTATCTTTACCGCAAAATTTGGACTTTAGTGATGAAAAAAAGCATAATTGTTTAAACAAACATAAACAAACATTTATGAAATAATTCCAGAACGACTCCAGCGTCGTGAACGTAACCGTTGAAGACGTAAATGAATGGGAACCCCGTTTCCGCTACCCTCACTACGAGTTTTTCGTCACTGGCCAACCCAACGAACTAATCGGCCGCATCGAAGCCGCCGACGGTGACAAAAACGACAAACTCACTCTAACCCTAACAGGCGTAAACGCCTCCAACTTCTTCATCACTCCTACCGGAGAGTTACGACTGCGTGAAGCCGGACCCCATTCAGGAGTTGCGAACTTAGCAGTTGTAGCCACCGACAGTGGGAACCCTCCTCGAAGAGCCAGTGTTCCAGTAACAGTGCATTTCCCCGATTCTGGAGACGTCGCCGGAATCATATCCTCGAGGGGCAACAATGGGGCTCCCCTTCTCCTGGCCGGACTTGGTGCAATTCTCCTACTTCTAGCTTTCGTAATAGCGTTACTGGTGGCTTATATTTGTAAAGCGTGAGTTGGTTGGGGGAGTTGAGGCGGAATTGTTGATTTGGGGTTGCAGGAAGAGGAATCCTAGGCAGGAATTGCCAACACTGCAGCCGGAGAAGTCTCAAGCCACGCCTACAGTGGCTGAAAGGATGAATAATCCGATGTTTGGGGACAGGGTTAAGTCGCCGATGGCGACTGCTATGGGGGGAATACCGAGTGATTTGGTCAAGTCGAGGATTCCAAGTCCGAAAGTGCATCCAGCACCGCAGCCGCCAGCGTGGCCATCTTCCGCATCGTCGACGAGAACTAAAAAGTTGAGTTGGGGAGATGACAAGGTAAAAAACCTAAATTTGTGAGATGTGTTTAATGCTGTGTTTATTTTCAGACTGACTCAGATAGTACAGACAATATCAACAATATTGATACAACGCCAAAACTCATAGACAATTCAAATTTAACTGTTTATTTCTGATGCAAGTTAATCAGTTAACAAGTTTTGTAAAGATAATGAACATTTTTAGAAATAAAATCTAACAAAAGTATTTTTAAGGTATTTTAAGTTTATTTAAAAAAATCGGAAATTGTAAATTATTACAACTATCCTTTTCAAAACGTGAAACAAAAACGATGATATATCTCATCCTGTATTAAAATATTTTCAAATTTTTAATAATCTTCTACATTTGTCAGAAAAAATAATTACTCGTATCTCAAATTTTGCTATACAAGATGATTCACAAAAATAAATTACGTTTCATCTTTTTTTATCAGTAATACATCATCAAGGTTCGAACTTTTTTTAAAGACAATAAGACATTCAAGTTTCAAAAAAATAATCTAAAACTAGAATAGAAGAAAATGTTTTTCCCCCATCACATTGGCGGTTTTACTTTTTTGACAACGACGTCACTTTGACAAATGAGTTTACGTAGAGTTCCTATATCAAATATAGGAACTCTAAGTTTACGCACGTTAAATAACAAAAATGTTTATGGAAAACATAATTTTAATAAATGGCAACTCAAAAAAACAGCTTTAAGATAAAATATACAGTCATTTTTAACAAGAACAATCATTAAAAAAATAAAACCGCCAATGAAATAAGACTTAAAAAGCAGAGGAAAAAAGTCCAAAATCAAAAGAAAAATTAACTTTTCTTCCTACTGAATCAGAATAATGAAGTTTTAATTATGGATGGGCTCGTTTCAAATGAAACAAAAAATATTTTTCCTTTGCAGTTTTGTAAAATCAAAGATAAAAATGTTTTTCCTCTTGTAAACCCAATCCCCGGACATACTGTATATCTTTTCGAAAAATAATGTACTTAAATTTATTACTCTTTATAATAATTACTAACATTTGTTACTATTAAGCTCAGCATATGCGTTATTTGTATTCTTACAAAAAAATGTAAAACCTGTTTCAACCTGTTATACTTCGAAAACTTTAATTTTTCAAATATCCTATTTCATGATTGTAAGTGAGAAAAAAAGCAAGAAATAGTTAAATATCGACTTAAAAAACATAAAAATTAGTTGGTCTAATATAAAAATTAATACAAAATTCAGGTGGTAATGTAGACAATTAAGCTGTCTTAAAAATATTTTTTGTATAACAATTTTGAAAAAACTTTTCCTCAAAACCAAAATTTGAAGTTGAAAATTTTAGTTTAGTTTAGAATATTTTTGCCTCAGTTGTGACTGATGTTGAAATTCAAAATTCAGTAAACTCTCATTTATTTTTTGTTCACTCTACAATTTGGTACATTGTAGGCAACATAATCAAAAAGAACTTGTTTTGAATTCACAAATCTGGTTCATCCTCTTTAAATTTTTGAAAATTATTTTAAAATTTATTTTTAATTGGACAATTTTTGAAATAATTGATAGTGAACTCTATTATTATTTGTGAATCATTTTACAGTTTAAATTTTCCTCATTTTTTTGCTACCTTAATCAAATATTTGGGTGTATTTAGCGCCAACAAATTAAAATAAAGTAAAGAGAACTGCATTTGTCAGTCAAACTTTTCTTAATTTCTTGTTGCTAATAATTCTAGAACGATGAAGTTCCACTCAAGTAAGCGGATATTCCCCAGGAAATGTAGGTCAAGCGGTCAATATACTTATTTATAAATGTTCAAAATTGATACATTACACAATTTTTTTCAAGAACCAACCGTTAAATTCAAAAACAACCATAATCACCCTCATAATTGTGTAACATTCATTAATAACGTTCCTCGAATTACGGTTGTAAATTGGTGATACAAACAAAAATACACCTGAAAAAAATAAAAGAGAGAGTTTCATTTACATACCATGATTCACCGGACTTTTCGCTTCATTCGTGTTTGTGGTATCAAGAAGAATGAAGTTCTTAATACTAATCCCTTTACTATTTTTTAATAATAGCAATTGCATATATTTAAGAAATGAGACAAGTGTCGGAAAAATTGAGAATAATCCGGCAATTTGGACCGAGCAAGGTGTTTGGGGGTCGCTCCTGGAAGAATGGGCCCTAAATCCAAATCGCAGGTAAGTACCATAAAATTAAAAATAAACCCATTTAATTGCGAAAATTAGAGGAAAGCGAGTAATGCAACTACCTCCGACTAAAGATGCGTACGTGATGGATGAGACTCCGGACGAATCCGGAGATGACCGGAAAAGCAAAATCACTCCCGGAAAAATCGTCAACGGAAATCAAAAACCGCCAGGTCAACAAGTATCAGAAACTGACTTGTATTTACTCGGAGCGATTGAAAAGCTGGTCTATAGAGCGGATTTCATGGAAAAACGTTTGCGACGAGTGGAAGAAATGTTGTACTTTGTGATGGCCGGAAATCGCGTCGATCATGGTAAAAAAACTATTTTTTTTTTTCTAATTTAACAAGTGTTTGTAGAGCCCTGCTCTGATAATTTCACGCGAGTGGGCCCCAATTGCTACATTTTCCAAAACGGCGCTGGTCGTGAATACGACTGGAAAGCCGCAAGTAAACAATGCAAACGTCTCGGTGCGGTTTTAACCGAAATGGAGACAATTGAAGAAAACCAGGATGTTATCGCGTACATCCAGAGCAACCAGCAGCTTAGAGGGAGAGATTTCTGGACTGGGGGGTTAAATCCCGGCCTTTTGTGGATCTGGAGTAACAGTGCGCGGCCTATTTCCACACCGGGGGGCAACAAGAAAAACCCTTCGGCGGGAATTTTGGGGGACGGGCGCTGTTTGCGGCTGGCATACGACCCAGCTCTGCGTTCCTATGCTTACAAAGGGACCGATTGTTCAGTTCGCTACAATTTTATCTGCGAATTGCCCGAAAATACAGCCAGTAACGAATTACGAAGACTGGGACGGAGCAGGAAAATTTTGGATGAATTATAAACCAAAGAAAAATAAAACATCTATTTATTCATTTTGCTTAATTTTGTTAACAATAAATATTTCAATGTGTATTAAATAAAAAATAAGCAAACAGTCTAAAATATGTATTTGTCTTTGACAAGACATATATTTCAAACAAAACAAAAAATTCGAAAATAACATCATAATGTCGTTAGTTGGCTCAACTCTTGCAACGTATTCAAATCCCGAAGTAGCATATGCAGTGTTTGTCTCGTCCTCGGGTAATCTTCATCATTCTCATAAATAGAAGTGTCTTCAAGCTGGTCAATTTGCTTTTCAAAATCATCCAATCTCTCTTCAACCAGCGACTGGGCATGTGCAATGTGTTCCAATAAATTCACTCGACAAACACTGGAATCAATCGCAGCTTCTGGTTGCGGTATAATCGGGGGCGGCAACTTATCCAAATTATCTTCACCAGCACTCTCCTCTTTGGTATTCTTCAAAATCATCATTAACATCGAATCGGAATTAGGCTCCGCTTTGATCGGACTTTCCGTCTTAATCTCATCCTCACTTTTGATTTCTTTCGGCTTTTCATCTTCACACTTCTCAGGCAACGGTAATTTTTCCCATGGTTTGGACCAGAGATACAATTTCGGGTGGTTTTTCGCCCTAGAAGCACACAATTAGTAACTGTTTAAAAAATGCAGGTGAGTAGAATCACTTACTCGGCTATTTTCAATTTAACCTTTAGCGTATTTACAAACTCCCTCACTTCGAGTAGCCCCCCAGAAATATCGTGCGACTTTTTCAACTTTTCGAATCTCTTACTAAGCATTTCCTCGTCTTTTGTGTGAAAACTCGTTGTTGCGAGTACACCATGTTTGAGCCAGTCCTGGTCGTGGAAGTACTTTTTCGACAGTCTCTGTCGTATCGGATTTTGACAAATGTAACACACGTACTTCTCTGGTACTTGACTTTCTCGCTCGATGTTGTTGCAAGAGGCGTGCTGCCAACACAAACACAAGTCGCATTGGATCATAAGGCCATCTTCCTCGGTGAATCCACAGGTGCAGTTGATGATTTCTTCTTGTTTCATTCTTACAATTTTGATCACCTTACCACCTTCAATAATAATGTTATTAGGTTCGGAAAGTGGCGGTGTCTCCAGTGGAATGTAGGTGTTTTCTGGTGGTTCATTACCTTTAGGACTGTCGACCGAGTCGACCAATCCTCGCTTACGCCTCAAAGTTGACTTTAATCTGTTTGTGACGTTTTCTGATTCCGGCGACGGCTGACTTGTCTTATTTTCCGGTCTGACAGGTAGCAAAGTTTTTATTCCCGCGGGAGGTCTAGTCGTACTCAGAGCCCTCAAACTGAGGTCGTTGTGACTCGGAATCCCTTCAGACTTACTCAAAAGGTCTTTTAGCTTAAAATCAGGGTACATACTAGACGGCAAACCGGCAGGCAAGGCTTTAACAGGATCGCTCTCTTTCCTACCATCAGCCGTTTTCGTGTTCAACAGTTTAATGATCTCGGAATCTTTAATTTTGTGCGATTGTGGCGAGTGAGGTTTGTCTGAATCGAGTTGTGGTGAGTGTGTTTTTGTCGCAGATCGTGGAATTGCCGACTTTTGTAACGGTTTTGCAGCCGGAGTTTTGCTTCCGGGAGATTTATCGAGCGATTCGCCCACGGTTCTGGCGTAAGCTAAATCAGCAACGTTCGGAGTCGAATCAAGGAATTTCATGTATTCGGGATGATAATGTTTGACGTGCATTTGGGCTAAGTTCTCTTTCCGAAATGTTTTTCCACAACCGTCGATAGGGCATTGGTAACCGTCGTCGACGATTGGTATTTTAAGAAGACTTTTATTTTCTTTGTCAAAAAAAATCACGTCAGAATTAAACAACGCGACATTGAAGCAAACTCACCTTCTTCTTCGGGGGCTAACTCGGAACTCTCATCATGCTCGACAAGTGGCTGTTCAACAGGGATTTCCGGGTGGAAATTCGATGCTAATTCGGGCTCCTTTCTGCGGTTTCGTGGACGATGAATTGTAAAGTCAAACATTGACCAGTTGTATTTCATCAGTTTGGTGTCTTCCAAGTACGACTTTATTTCGGATTTTGACCGAAATCTGCGATTGTCGGGGCTGACATAACAAACAAATAAAAATAAAATATACCCCAAAAAATAACAATTCAAAAACGAAGTTACGCAAAAATCATTTTGTAACCAATACAAACATTTATTTTGATGTTTTTATGTATTGTTCAAAAATTTTTGTACACTAATAACTAATAACAAAGACATAATTGTCGGAGAAAGTCTTAGCTGGCATTCTCTATATTATACAGGATGAATTTTACAAAACGGCAGACGCTGTAGAATTTTTATTTATGGCCCGATTTCAAAAATTAAATGGCTTTTAATATAGTATAAGCTACCAATTTTAGAATTAAAAAAAAATAAAAGTTAATAAAATCTAGGTACATAGCGTCAAATAAGACAATACCATTATTGTAATGACAAAAAGCAGTAAATGAAAGAAAATATTGCCAATATTACCCCTAACACATCAGAAACACATCTAATTTAATGTGATTAGTTTATTTTATTATTATTTATTTTTTTATTTTGTTTATTTTTAATGAGTTATTGTTAACGTCAATTTTTTTCATTGACACCATGCAACTAGATTTTATTAACTTTTTTATTTTTTTTCAACTTCGATAATTTTTTTAAAGAATAGTTTTTAGTAAAAGTAGAATATGCTACATCTCGCTAGCAAGAAAGTTAATATCTTTCAAATTATGAAAAAAAAATGGTTCCCTATTTAAAATTACAAAGTTGAATATAGCTGATAACACCTGAACAAATTCAAAGATCAGTTGTCAAAATTTTTAATCACGGGTGTCTTAAACGGTGAAACAAATGTAATTTTTAATTTTCATCTTCTTTATGGTCTGTAAGACAAATTGTAAACTGATTTTACTTAAAATCGGTAAGTTGTATCGAAAAAACGCAAGAGACCTCTATTTTGTAAAAAACTATGAAATTTAGAATTTTGTGGCTGAAAGTGGCACGAACCAATAGCCAAAATAATTAGGGTACTTTTACCCTAAACCCCCCCAGTTTAGGACGCCTCTGAGTAAAAATTTCGACATTTTATCCTTGAATTGGGTGTATAAAGGTTATCAGTTGTACCAAATTTTGAAATTTTATCTACAATGGTTGTTGAAATATTTCAAGAAATCCATTATATGCACCCGTTTCAGGGAATGTAGCTCCCTTATTTAATATTTTTCGATACATGTTTATAGGAAACTTTTATCTTAAAATTGAATATCCTATCAACTGCCTTAATTTGTAACAATAAAAACGGAACACCCCGTATATTATAAAATCCATTTAATTTACTTTTTTATTTTTTGAAATCGAGCCATAAATAAAATTTCTACAGTCCTGCTGTTTTTTAAAATTACCTAATTACCCTGTATAACGTTTACATCAACTTAAAAACCATACACTCGAAAAAACTATTATATTTTTTATATTGTTAACTTCATTAAAATGGATACAAATATTAATTTTGAATTTTGTGATGCAACAAGCACGTCAGAATTATCGCACAAACCTGACTATTATGGTGTCCCATTTACCCGCCGAAGCCCCATGCATCCTCTGGGCTAAATGTTTAGTCCAACCCTCCGGCAATCGTGGATCCGGAACAATGATGGACTTTCTAGTTCCATCAGTGGTTTCAATTTGTGCCTCTGTACCTACTGGTTTTCCATCTTCCCACCTGTTAAGTTACAACATTTCTCTCAGCTTGAAACAATTTATTCTTCAATTTTACACATTTACAATCATAAAACACGAGCCAAACAATAAAAATTTAATGTGACAACAAAAATACAACAATAAAAAAATGAGAAACAAGAAACTTACTGTGGCACCCAAGGGTCAAACACTTCTTCAGATGGATCTGTGGTGTTTTGTGGTTGTGAAATGTGAGAGTGGCTTGGCGTTTTGGGTTTTTCGTCTGTGATATCCAAACGCGGGCGTTTTCCAAATAGAGCAGCAATGTTAATTTTTCTCTTCTTTTCTCGACGTTCCTGCTTTGAACTTTGGATGGGATCAAACAATGGCGAAGACTGCGTTGGACGACCTTCTGTTTTACAAATCAGATGGGCTTTCAGGTTCTTGACAAAGCCATCATCAAATAAAACTTCATATGTATCTGTAACACATTAAATACAAATAATTTATTCAAAATGTTTGAAAATAAATAAATACCATTGGGCAAAACTTTAGTTATAGTAGCAGGAAATTTTCTATTGCCTGTCCATGCCGCCAAACAGCGTTCCCCAACAGTGAATTGTTGGAGAGTTTTCTTACCGGAGTGTGACTGCAGGGGCCTTAATCTAGGACTGTCCATACAAATCCATTCATCATATTTACTAGAAAACTTCTCAAAGTGAATCAACACCTCGTTTCCTTCATAATCCTCCTCCACTATTCTGGCAGGGTACCATGTATTGTTATTATCTAAAGCCTCAATTCGAGAATTTATTGCAAAATTTATAGGTCCATTCGCATTCATTCTTATTTTTTCTTTGGCTTCTCCACTTTTCTCTTTACTCTTTGCTGAATCTGTTGGTGGACCATCTTCTACTTTATCTTCATTTGGTTCTTCTGGTTCTTCTTTCATAGAAACCTCCTCAGTCTCAGTTTTTTCACTATCTGCTTCCTTCTCATCTGGTTTATCTTGTGTCTTTTCAGGTTCACTCTTTGTGGTTTTGATAGCTTCCAGTTTTGACTTATCCCAAGGAAATACACTCGGGAGTACACCCTGACGCAAAATATATTTCTTTCCTTTAAAATTACAAAAATCCATGCGTAGAAAGTGACGAGAACAAATATAAATCACCTTCATGCTTTTCTTGTCTTCAGGGATGCGACATAAAGATATCCACTTCTGGCGAGTATCACTATGGCTTGGGACTTTGTGAAACGTTACTCCTATGTCCTCGGGTCTGTTTGAATCGGACAAACAGTCCTCTACGCCACACTTACGACCCATTTCTTCCTGATTGTAACTTGAAAATTAAGAGGAAAACCAAAAGCAAGCGTTCCAATGTAGAGCTCTAATGAGTTATTATTATAGTTTCTTGCAATGTTTTCAAGTGGTTTAGAATCAAAACTATACACTTTGAAAGGGCTCAAATAACTAATTATGGCACTGGTAAACAGAAAAATTGCGCAAAATTATAAAATTCTGTCAATTTTTTTTATGCATAAACATCACGGGCTGACAACACTTAAGACAAAAATCCCTACTCTTGCAAATAATTAACTTCGCAATACACTAATCAGTTTAAGTAAAATTCAACACGGAAAACACTTACTAATCAAAAATAAATAATGCGTGTTGAAACATAAATTGAAAACCGTTTTTATAAAATTTCTACTTGCTAAAATCATGTGGTGACATTTACAAATGTTGGCTGCGCTGATTTAGGGTGAAAGTCAATTCACTTGTCAACTGAAATTTCCTCTTTTTTTTGAGACGAATTTGCGTGTGCTTGTTCTCTCTGAGCTAAGGCCATTCGGCGACTTGCACATTTATTTGATTAAATAATTTATCGAAAATGACTTCAACAGCCGAACTTGCTTGTGTCTATTCCGCCCTCATCTTAGCTGACGATGATATTGCTGTTACCGTAAGTAGAAATATTTTTTTAGGTTATGTTTAACCATGTTTGAAAAGAGCTGTAGATTATCAACATTTATCGTATTTTTTTAAATTCATCCTCTTTTGCTTTTTGTATTTTCACCTACAACGAGTCAAGTTCTACCTTTATGTTTGGATATTTTTGGTTTTTGTCGTTTTGAGGTTAATTTTTGTTGTAGGGCGAAAAGATTCAAACAATCTTGAAAGCCGCTAACGTCGACGTTGAACCCTACTGGCCAGGTCTTTTCGCCAAGTCACTCGAGGGTGTCAACATCAAGGAACTAATCACTAAGATTGGTTCAGGTGTTGGGGCTGCCCCAGCTGCCGCTGCGTCTGCCGCTGCACCTGCCGCGGCCGCTGCTGCCCCAGCTAAAGAAGAGAAGAAGAAGGAAGAGGAGCCTGAAGAGTCCGATGATGACATGGGACTGGGACTCTTCGACTAAACTGGAGTTTCATTATGAAAATGTACAACTTGTATTTTAAGTAATAAAACTCTTTTTTAAATTTTGTTCTAAAGTACTGTATTTGTTATACTAAAGTCTGAAAAGCATTACCACATAGCTCTTTGCACACCTGAGAGCTTATTATAATCAGCTAAATGCCTAAAGACAATTCTACTAACTCTCCACCTATTAACTACTCCTCTGGGTCTTGAAGTTATCACACAACGTTTATTCATCCTCAAAGGTGTTGAATTTAGCGGAAAAGCGGCTATTTCAGCATCTGCTATCTCACGAAGCTCCTGTGGTAAAATATCATTCTTTCGTAAAGAATTGACCCGCAGACGAGCAGGAGCCATCTCCGTGGCTAGTTTCCGGCGTTTTACATCTCGAATCATCCATCGATTTACCCATTTCGTGCGAATTTGTTGAAGCTAAATTTTGAGGTTATGTCTCCACTAACAAAAATGATAAGTAAACTTACGTTTTGATTTTGAAAACACGTTATACTGTGACTAAATAAGTTAGAAATTGCTTTAAGACTATTCATATTGTGAAAATTTTACAGATTTTAAACTTCTTACGGTGTTTACGTTACGTTATTACAGTCACAGATAAAGTTAACTACGTAAACGCAGTGGTTGTCACTACGTTAACGTAACGTATGTTTTTCGCGATCTGAATAAATCATCATAAAGTTGTAGGTTATTGAACTCGTGTGAAATAATTGAAACTTTATCTTGAGCTTCTTTATTGGGTACTTGTTACAGAAGCTGCTTACATATTAATTGCAAGTCTATCATCATCAAATAATAACAAAAAAAAACAATAAATAATATTAGAAACAAAACTTAAATTCTATCAGAAATGCCCTTTTCTGCATAAATAATTATAAGTTACAGTTGTTCAATTAAATAAAAACCTAAAATGAGGATGAAAGGAAATGTTTTTCCTTCTGAATTCCTTGCGATGAAAATAATTCTGCTGTAGCCACCTAGAGAACAATAAATAATAGTTGCTGATGAAGATTTTCTTGGGGCCTGAGGCAGAAGATTGAACTAAGCCTAGTTATTTCTTCTTTTGTGCCTTCTCGGCGGCCTTCGTTACTTTACCAGTAGTATCTTTAAAGTTGACAGACTTGATGACGCCGACGGCCACTGTTTGTCGCATATCGCGAACTGCAAAACGTCCCAAGGGCGGAAACTCTTGGAAAGATTCGACACAAAGTGGCTTAGACGGTACCAAATTGACGATGGCGGCGTCACCCGACTTTATCGATTTCGGATTTTCCTCAGTGGTTTTGCCTGTACGGCGATCGCATTTCTCCTTGATTTCGGCAAACTTGCAAGCAATATGAGCAGTGTGACAATCTAAAACCGGAGTGTATCCGTTGGCGATCTGACCGGGATGGTTCAGTACAATGACTTGAGCGGTAAAATCGGCAGCTCCTTTGGGTGGATTGTTTTTAGAATCTCCGGCGACGTAACCTCGACGCAACTCCTTCACGGAGACGTTCTTCACGTTGAAACCGACGTTGTCGCCGGGTACCGCCTCTTGCAGAGCTTCGTGATGCATTTCCACTGACTTTACTTCAGTAGTCAAACCCACGGGGGCGAAAGTAACCACCATGCCGGGCTTCAATACACCGGTTTCCACTCGGCCCACGGGCACGGTACCGATACCACCAATCTTGTAAACATCCTAAAATATGGACAAATATGTCAGACAAGTTATAACTATAAATTTTTATTCCATTTTAATAATTTTTTGTTTTCACAACTTGTCACCTGTGAGATAACAAATTGTAACAAAAATAAAGACGCGTTTTACCTGAAGAGGAAGACGTAGAGGTTTCTCCGTGGGCCTCGACGGTGGCAAGATCGCATCCAACGCTTCAATCAATGTCTTTCCTTCAGCCTTCCCCTCCTTCCTTTCAATACTCCACCCTTTAAACCAGGGCATCTTATCAGAAGGTTCAAGCATATTATCCCCATGCCATCCCGAAATGGGGACAAACGCTACAGCTGCAGGATTATACCCAATTTTCTTGATGTACGACGAAACTTCCTTCTTGATTTCCTCGAATCGCGCCTCAGAATAGGGCGGCTCCGTCGAATCCATTTTATTCACTCCGACAATGAGCTGTTTCACGCCCAAAGTGAACGCCAAAAGGGCGTGTTCGCGCGTCTGGCCGTTCTTGGAAATCCCGGCTTCGAACTCGCCAGTGCCTGCAGCCACAATCAACACGGCACAATCGGCCTGCGACGTCCCCGTGATCATGTTCTTGATGAAATCCCTATGTCCGGGGGCGTCAATGATGGTCACGTAGTACTTCGAGGTTTCGAATTTCCAAAGGGCGATGTCGATGGTAATACCGCGCTCGCGTTCTGCCTTGAGTTTATCCAAAACCCAAGCGTATTTGAAGGAGCCTTTGCCCATCTCTTGGGCCTCTTTCTCGAATTTTTCGATGGTACGTTTGTCGATACCGCCGCATTTGTAAATCAAATGACCAGTCGAGGTGGACTTGCCGGAATCGACGTGACCAATCACGACGATGTTAATATGGATCTTTTCCTTACCCATGGCGGATTACGAGTATTGCCTGTAAAAAGAGGAAACGTCAATGGCGCCCCCATACCGTATCCCTGAATTAAAATCATGTGTTTACAAGCAATGGAACCTAACGGTGTTCCACGACCTTGACTCAATTAGCCAAACAGGAAAATAAAACGTTGCAAAACAATGCAATTGATTTTTTGTCAATCAAGTGAAATTGTAAGTAGTGAAAATAAGAGGTCACGAACTTATGTTGTTGCCATTAAGAAATTGATTTATTAGTAAAAAATTAAGTGCCTCCCGGCCGGCCGGCTTTAAGAAATGCAGCTTTGAACAATAGGGCGGCCATTTTGTGTTGCAATCCATTTAAATCAATATTATCAAAAAATCCAAAATTAATTTGGATTATCGATTAGCTCCCACAATGACAAGCCGGTTTCGGTTATCGACTCGAGAAGCAAAATCGTTGTTGAGGTAGGTCGAAAAAACCGGCTCTTATGTGATTTAAACTGACTCTTATAAAACTGATGCAAGAAAATAATTAAATGCAAAATACATACCAACTCGTACAATTTTTAAATGACAAAGAATTTTGTTTATTTTTTTGAAAAAAATATTGTTTTTTAAAAAGTATTGATTGTCACAATTTGACACCGGCTTTCACACATTGCAAAAAACTGTCCTTTGGGGAAAAATCGAAAAGTAGGCGATGCAAAGTGCCGGTGTGAAAATCTGCCAAAATCTCGAATAATCAAAGAAAATACTTTCCTAGGGTAAATTTTCCTGTTTTGCGGAAATGTATGCGATTGTCACACGCACCGGATGAATATTTTAAAGACTGATAACTGATAAAATTTGTAAAAAAGTCGGGAAAGCTCCACTTACCTCAGAAACTGCAGCAAGAGAACGGGAAAAACGACAGACCTCTCCTAGCCGCGAGCAAACGGAAATAGAAGGAGAATGTTATTGGTGGGGATGGAATATTGATTTACGACCATCGTGAAATAGGGCACATTTAAACCATCTTGCGTTTTTCACACAATAACGGTACTAAAATACTAGGAACTGTCCCATTTTAGGTCAAATGCTGCAKTTAATTTTCACAGAAAATGTAAATTATGAGGAAATAGGGGAAGTGCCTAAAATTACTAAACCAATGAGATCGCTAAAAAAAACAAGGGGTGTGACGTACGCCGGGGTTGTAATTAGCGCGGGAAATTCAATTTAAAATCGCCATTAAAACGTGAATAAGAAATAATTTATTTATCAATATTTACACAACAACTATGTATTAATTATGGTTTCGACGGTGATGGCCACAAAGGAAGATAATTGGTCCATCCCCGAATCCCCGGGTCGCCCCGAGCCACCATATTAAGTTTCTGAGTCTCTTCAGGACTCAATTTCAAAATCGTATTTAACACTGGCACCAAGCGACTTCTCTCGTCCCCGCTATGCAAAGTCACAAACTAAAACAGGTTTATGTACACAACCACCTGACTGTGATAACGTTATCATAAATACCTTGAAAACAACATTTTTCAAATACTCCAAATTTTCCGCATGTTTTTCCCTCTCCACACTTCTCTGTTGTCTCCTTATCTCTTCTTTCAGCAATTTATTCATCTGGGCATGCTTCGCCAAATCCTGTTCTGTATCAGCCAGCAAGGCAGTCAAGTGAACCACTTTAGATTCTTCCTCACTTAATTGTTTTTTCAAAAAAGCAACTTCCTGGTCAGTGTCGCCACCTAACAATCTTTCTAAAGGTACAGGATGCATGGGATTTTTATTCGTATTTTCGGTACTTTCAGACCCTTCTCCTTCTTCACGATGCATCGGCAGTGGCGGTAGTGACAACTCCGGGGACGGGGCTTTCTCGATCTTGCTCTGCAGTTCGATTATTTCGCGGTTATGGCGAACTTCCTGCTCTGATAACTGCTGGCGGTAGCACTGGGCCAAAGTCTCGGCATGGACCTAAAGAGAGACATAGGTCCTTAATTAAAAATTGAACAAAACAACAGATGAAACATGATTTTTTTAAACACTTAAAATAAATAAAATTTTACCTTTAAACTTCTGACGGTTTCGCTGTGTTCGATCACTGTTTGCTGGTGTTTGTTTGTCAATTGGTCGTAAAGAGTCTTAAGATCCTCAACTTCGCTAGTCACTTCTTCACATTTGCTCGAAATTTCTAATTTTTCGTGAATCAGTACTTCGTTTTCTTTCTTCAAATCTTCAATAGCAGTTCTACAAACTTGATATCAGACAAAAACACTGATTTGTCAATGTAACTCACCTGCACTTGTTTAATTCCGTAGTGAGAGCCTCACATTTCACCCGTAGTGCTGTTGCTTCTTCCGACAGTTTTTCCTCAAGGCCAACATCCCGATTCTGATTCTGTCTCAAGACACTTTGCGCCCGGACTTTATAATTTTCATAATCACTTTGCACAATTTTCAATTCGTCTTCTTTCAGTTTTAAGACATCTTGGACCTCTCTTAACGTCTGTTGCAGCCCCAAAACTTGACCTTTCAAATTTTCTTTCTCGGTTTTCAAACTTGCGTTAACTTTCTGATGCTCAGCTATAACTTTGGACAACTCAGTCGACAATTCTTCATTTTCTGAACGCACAGTTTCCAACAGTTGGGTCAAATCGTGGATTTTATTCTCCTTAGTTGACACCACCGATTCCAAATCGGAAATTTGCTTTTTATAACCGACTATTTCAGCCTGTGTTGTTCCAACTTGAGTCTTCATTTCTTCCGCTCGTTCTTCTAAAAGTTTATTCTGCTCGCGGACCGCATTCGTTGTGCTTTTCTGCGATTCTAGCTGACTTTTCAACTTGGTTATTTCTTCTTGCTTCTTTTCCAACTTCTGTGACAACTCCTTAACACTCCTCTCGTAGTCTTGCATTTCCAAATTGAGGACGGAATTTTTCTTGCGTTCGATATTGGAATGTTCCAGGGAATTTTTAGTTTGTTGATGGTACTCGCTCTCGGCTTTCAGCGCTTGTTCCTTGGCTTCCAAATCAGCGCTGAGTTTGGCGATTTTTGCTTCGTATTCTTTTTTCAAAACTTTGTTTGCGTCGAGTTCCTTTCTAAGTGTCGAAACTTTACCACTTATTTGCTTCTTCCACACTTCAGTCGTGATTTTCTCTTGATTCAGTTCTTCCAATTCTTTCTTAAGTATGGTGATAATTTCCTCATTTTCGCTCAGTTTTTGTTTATCTTTTGAGACTTCAGAAAGAGTTGAATCCAATCGAGCCGAATAATCCTTTATTTGTTTTTTATTCTCTTCCAACTCGTCTTGTAATTTATCACACTGGGCTTGCAATGTTGCTATTGTTTTTATATTAGTGGCACATCTTTGTTGAATATCGTTTTTCTCGTTTTGCTCTTTCACCAATTCGTTGGATAAGTCGCGAACTTTTCCTTTTAATTTCACGCCCAAGTTTCGAAGTTTTCCGTATCTTTCCTCCCAAGAACCCTCCAAGTCTTTCATCCTGTTTGCCTCCTCCGATCTTGAAATTGTTGACGTTGACATGGACTCACTATCGGCGTAACTTGAATCAAGATTCGCATTTAATCTTTCTTTCAAATTCTCAATTTCGTTTTTTAAATCACTTATTTCCGATGTGTTTGAATTTAAGTCACTGTTCGTTTTAAGTCGCTCGATTTCCGCTTCTAGCTTTTTGATTATTTCCTCCTTTTGGGAGATGTTGTCAACATTTTTGTTTGCTTGTGTCTCATACAACTGCAACTTTTTCATAACTTCCTCACAATGGGATTGCAATTTTGAAATTGTTTCTCCTCTTTCTTTCAACGCTTGATTCATTTCATTCATCTCGGCCAACAGCTCGGAATTTTCTCTCTTCAAAGTTGAGACGAGTTCTTCCAATTCATTGTTTGTTGAATCCTCAGTTTGGCATTCCATTTGTTTGCTGTTGTCACGCGTAGTTTGCAATTTTTGATTCATTTCCACCAACTGTGCATTTTCTTGAACTAGTTTAAGTATCTCGTCACTGGTTCTATCAGCGATTTGTCTTTCCGTTTCTTTTGAATGTTCAAGTGCTTCTTGAAGACTGTAATTCTTCTGTTTCACATCATTTAATTCCCTCAAGTTTAAATCTAGATCCTCCTCAAGCTTGGAGATGACTTTTCGATATTCAATGCAAATTTTTTCATTTTCTTCTATTCTATTCTGGATTTCGATCGTATCTTTTTTGCTCTGATCATCGAAAACTTTGATTTCTTCTTGATGTCTTTCCTCCAATTGCCTTAAATTCTCAATCAGACTCTCTTTCTCAGCAGTAAGTGTTTCTATAGTTTGCTGATAGTCAATCTGAAGTTCTAACAATTTTTCATTTTCTTTAATCAACTTCTTATATTCTTTGGAAATCCGCTCAAACTCGCCAAGTTCTTTACTTTTCTCGTCGTCAGTTTTATGAGCCTCAAGTTGTTTTAGATATTTTGCATTAGTTTCTTTTAAAATTTTAATTTCATTGCAGTATTCAGAGTTTTGCAGTTTAATATTGTTAATTTCGTGACACAACTTTTCTGAAGCTACGTTCAATTGTCCTTTCCATTCTTCCACTTGATTTACGTATGTTTTAAGCAAACTCAAAACATCGTTTTTGCTTTCTTTCAAAACCTTTACATTACTTGCCAGTTTTACAATTTTTGAGTGATAAAACTTAAGTCTTTCTTTGAGTTTTTCAACAATTTTTTCCAACTCCACTTCTTTCATTTCCCTTAATTCATAATCATTCTTGATTTTTTCGAAATTGTCAACCAGTTTTAATTTTTCTTGCAATTCTTGACTTATTATTAAAATATTCTTATCCTTCTCCCCTAAATTCGTTTTGAGCACCTCAATTTTCTCCGTCATTGAATTATTTTCAGCCTGGAGCTTTTTAACTTCCTCTAAACTAATACTAAGCATTTTCTGCAACTCTGCAGACTTATCACTTGTGTTGTCACTCTGTAACTTTTGATTAGTGTCTTCCAACAACCTGTTGCTCTTTTCTAACATCAGCAAATGATTTTGCTGTTCAAGTCCTAGATTTTTGCACTCTTCAAGTTGTTTTTCCAGTGACTCCAAATGCGTAATCAACTGCTCATTTTCATCCGTCAAACGCTTGATTTGCCTTTTATAAGAAATATTCTCGCTTTCAAGCCTATCCTTCTCTTCGCACAGCCGTGCATCTTGCGTGCAATTTTGTAGTTTATTCACTAAAATGGCATTTTGGTTTTTCAAGTCTTCAATCGTGGTAACGTAGTGCAACTTTTGCTGGGTCAAATTTTCGATAATTACATTTGTAGCATCTCCAGATTCCGACTTCAGTTTACTTTTTAGGTCAGTATTTTCTTCCTGGAGCGCATCCTTCGCCTGTTTCGCTTTCTGGGCGAGAATCAAAAGCCGTTCGCATCGTTTAATCAATTCCTCTTTTGATAGATTCTCTAACACGACTTTCTTCCCACTTTCGGGGGGCGTATTCGATTCCATTTCAATCAATTACTAAACCTTAGTTGTAATTTTTAAGTAATTACATGGTATTTTAATATTTCTTTGATTATTATTTTGACACATCAATACTACTATTTGACAGCGGGATTAATTTTACAGTTAACCAACAAAAAAAAACACAAAAGTTACTATTTTTAGTGACTTGGGCAACGTCATATTTGTCATAACCTCAATGTTTGGCTTTTCAAGAATGGATGATGGGCTCACATTTTTAATTAATTTGATGCTTTAGACATAACTAGCTTTGTTTTCTAAATTTTGTTGCTTTAGTGGCAACAACCGAACATTTTTTTGGTTATAAAATGGAATTTTCTATGGATGAAGTTTCCGACGAGGATTTAGTAAATATCCAAAATTTAACTTTTTTCAGTAGTAAAGGGACACTTTTTAGGTGACCCAATGGATAAATAGTGCTGCAGTAGCCCGGTCTGCTGTAGAAAAGCTTGAATACTTTCACAAATTGCAGGAAGTTTTAATTCGGAAGTCGCCCAATTTGCTACCAAAATATTTACAAAACATGCTTAATTTTACGACTGATAGAAATGGGGACGTTAAAAAAGCATTAGTTGGTTTTATTGAAGAAATATGGTAAGGTTTTATTTTAAAAGTTAGCCTACCTACTTAACTTTTTTTTAGCAAAGTGCGTGAATCTCTTTTACCTAAAGTAATGCTAAACCTTCATATGCTGCTTTGTGATGAATCAATAGCGGTTCAGAAGCGCGTAATTCAAGCTTTAATTAGTATTTATCGAAAAACTTTGGCATGGTTGTGCAAGGCATCTGTTATAACAGAGGAAATGGAAAACACTTGGAAGCAGTTGTCTGCTATAAAATTAGAGATTGCAAATATGATTGATAGTGACAATGATGGGATTAGGACTAGTTCAGTGAAATTTTTAGAATGTGTTGTGTTGTTACAAACATATCCTGATCAAGAAGAGAACAAAAAACAAAATGATTTTTCACTTGATGATGTGCCTTTGACGTTAAAATTAGCAAGAAGACGAAAATTGGAAGAAGAAGCAAAGTATTTTTCTCTTTTTATCTCAGTAAATTCTAATTGCATTTTTTAGTACTCTTTTCGAATTACTTTTAAAATTCCATGGCTCTCCTCACATTAGTAGTGCTAACTTATTAACCTGTTTGGGGGTTGTTACCAACATTGCGAAAAACCGGGCTGAATTTATGTCGAGAGTTGTCTCCGCCATTGAATCACTTTATAATAATTTACCTCCAACTCTAACCACAACTCAAGTAAATTCCGTGCGCAAAAAAATGAAATCTGAACTCGCTGGACTCATTAAACATCCGGCAGCTTACGAATTTGTGGAGAAACTAACTCCGATGCTCATCGATTTGGGTTATTCCCAACAAGACATTTTTAAAATGGTACCCAAACCGGATGAGAGACGTAAATATTGCAAGAGGACTCTCTCACTTGAGTCTCTCCAGATCTACAACAAGAGACCTAGACTTGATCCTCAAATTGAATTCGATAATGACACTAACGATAGTGATACGCAAACACTGCAGGAGTTGAATGAGCACTTTGTATCTGAAAATTTTACGCTAGAAAGAGCCGTTCAATTGGTTTTGTCTTCTATGAGTAAACTACCAGCTACAATGCCTCCTGAGTTTAGTAAAGAGTATGGCAAGCATGTTGATGGTGGAAAAGTTGGGCAAATTGACGTTTTGACAAAAATTATCGCAACTCATTTAACTGAAGCTGGCATTTCGCCGTCTTCTAAAAGTTTTGCAAAAAAGGTTGAGGAAATCAAATTGCAGGAGAAGGAATTGGAAGAGGACAAGGAAGAGAAGGAAAAGGTAATTAAACCATTTCTGTTTATTTTTGTTGCTTTGCTGCTTAAACTCATGAATGATTAACAGAAATAAACAGTAATTTGAAATTGCATATTTTACTATTACTTTTCTATATTTTTTATTGTTTATCTTTGTTCTTTAATTTTAAAATTGTACTTTCAAAAACTCTGTAGAGTTGTTAGCTTTATTTGTCTATACATTTTGAAAATAATACACTACTCCAAAAAATTAAGGGAACAAAAATATTTCCTAAATTTTTTGGTGATGTTTGGAAGACTTTATCTGGAAGATCTTTGAACGATTTTTTGTTTTTTTTTTATTCACCCTCAACATTCATTTAAGGTAAAGAGCAAACAGTAACTTTCTGTCTTGTTTTAGTAAATCTACCGCGTATTCACAAATATTGATGGGGAGACTAATTGTTTTAGGTGTTTTTACAGCTTAATGTATCCCTCATAGCCCTGTAAATTTTTGAATCGACCTATCGAACAATTTTCTTGGACCGATTGATCAAAGTTTTCCAAAAGAATTAAAGAAACGATTGTACATATTGTTTCTGAACATTGTCTCATCTTTATCAAGATGAGAAAACGCATTTTTTCAACATTTTTACAACTTTGCATTTCTTCTTTGTTAAATTTGGAAAAAAATCCAAAATGTGTATTTCAAAAAATTA